AGTCTGATAAAAACTTAGCATTTAAAAAACTTACTTGTAAAGAACTTGATAATTCGATAAAAATTTAAAACAAATAAACCAACTCTATGATTCTTTTTCAGCTAGCATAATCAATTAGATATTTTCAAAAAATCGGTCAAAACAGGTGTTTTTACAGATAAAGTGAAAGTTGCGATTATAACACCCATTTTTAAAATAGAAGATGAAAGTCTGGTTACAAATTATCGATCTATATTGGTGTTACTTGTTTTTTCAATAATCCTTGAGCGTATTATGTATAATAGGCTGGTTGCATTTTTGAATGAAAACAACCTTCTCTATTGTAACAATATGATTTTCGATTAAATTACTCTACAGAGCATGCACTTCAACAATTAGTTGAAGTCATCAGCGGAGCATCTTTCTTATAATAAACTCACTTCAGGTATATTCCTAGACTTTTCAAAAGCATTTGACACCGTTAATCATCAGATTTTACTAGAAAAGCTAAAAAAATATAGAGTATGCTATAAATACCATGCATACCAATTGCTAAAGCTCTTCCATGAAGCATAAGGACTCTGTATATTTACAAAATAAACATATTCAAAGTCAGTCAATGTATGTTTTAACATCAGTTTAAAAAAACTCAAAAGATTATCGAAAATATTTTTTCTAAAACATCAAACTGATACAATATTTGACCGACAGAATTATTTGTAAAACCTTTCCGTATTTCAAAACATACAAGGCTCTCCATTTCTATCATGGCCTATCAATGCTATAGAGCCATTTTACAAGCCTGAGTCGTAAACTTAGAGAAGCCAATACCGCTCAAAAATTCAAAAAGAACGTAATTGAACTTATTGTCAATCAAAATTCTTTACTTGATTTTTTCTAACAATACACTTTTATTCTTTTTTATTATCAAAGGTTACTGATGATAAGATTTTGTATTTACATTCAATGTTTTTGAATACTTTATATGACTATGTCGGAAATTACCTTGAATTGCAAATTGTTGCTGACAAAAATAAATAGATGAAAACTATCGTTTTTTATTATCGTCTTTATTCTTAAGGTAGGAGTCTGGGAAACGTTCTAACGATACCGGTAAATGTATAAATAAAACTTTTAATGAATAAAATACGTTTTAATTAATTGCATTTGTCTAGTAATCAAAAGAATCAATTAAAAAAAGCTACAACTTTTAAATATTCCTAATTACAAATTGATATCTTTATAATAAAAAGCAAAGGAACGGAGCAAGAGGAGCGGAGGGCATACAAAAAACCCGAAAAGAAAAATATATGTGGCCCACATGTGGTCATAGTGCTTTCGTGTGGATTAAAAGTGCAAAAATATATTACAGTTGATGAATTACGTATTTGATGAAGATAAGTGTGGCTTACTTGTGGAATGCGTAATGCGATTCACATAACTATTTCACTTAATGTGGCATAATCCTTAAATAAATACGTACTAAATTTGATGTGGCTATCATATGGGCCATACATATAAAACTCACAATCTTGGCTCATTTTGAATTTTAAATTTTAATCAATTGTAATAATTCTATCGCAATGCATTGTAAACCATAGAATATTCCATGATATCATGTGGCTTACCGTTTTTATAATTTTCAATTTATAACCTTTGTAAGTATGTTTGAGCGATAAAAATAAATATATATAAAAGAAAAAGTGTAAATATATAAAATAAAAAAAACAAAAACCTAGGAGTGTTAAGAGTTCTACTTATTGTAATATACAATTTGTTATCATTACTAAACTATGTTTTTCTTGTATGTGATTTTATGCGTGATTTAGATTATACAACGGCATATTGTTTAAAAATATTATTTAAAACTATATTACTTATATACAGGGCCGTACCGACGGGGGTGTGTGTGAGGAGGATACCCCCTCCTTCCCTAGATTTACATTTTCTGTCGGTTTTTGTCGGAAAATTGGAAAATTTGGGACTCTGTCGGTCCCAGAAGTCTTAAGGCTTCCGGGAGATCACTTCCCGTTTATCTGATATCCATTTTTTACAAAGTTTTTATGGTCTTATAACAGAGCACTGGGAAAGAGTAACAAGCACTGGGAAAGAGCATTTAACCAGGAAGTTTGGATTTCTTTCCTTTCAGACAATATCGCAATATATTTAATTACGATCGTAATTAAATTTGGGATGGTTGTGTTGATTTGTTGATAATAAAAAAAAAATGCTAATGCCTATTATTTAAAATAAAATTTAATATTTTAAATATTCTTAATATTTTAAATGTTCTTTTTATATTTTAAACAATCTACGTTTATATCACCGATGCGCATGGGTAAACATAGATTCAGTGACATCGATGATATTTAGATACTTAAGAATTCTGCTCAAGTTTTTCAAAAGATTTTGATAATGATAAATACACATGTGATAAAGTAATTAAAAATATAATTATATTAAATAAGCATATAAACCTATTTGATTTCAGGTCTGTTCGAAGTCTTATAGACCTGAACATCAAAACATGCAACATTCAATCATAACAAAATAATTCTTCTTCCTTGCCTTAATAGCAGCCAAGTCATCAATAAAGTTATCAAGTCTAAGTTCTTTACAACTTCCCCTTCTAAGGTCAAAACTGCAAAACCATTGAGTCTTTCTTGACCTATTGTTGACCAATATAATTCTTGACCTTTTTTTGGGTAGAAAACGACCGTTCACTAAAACAGTTGAATGCAGGTGCGCAAAGAAATATTTGAACAACAATGTAAACGTTTGGATATACATCATAAAGGGATTTCGATCTTATGATATTGAAAAGTTCAAACACAGAAAATGCTTCATTAATGTATTGGCTTTTCGCTTCTGGTTCAATATGTTGAAGATATCCTCGAAAATGAATACATACCTCAATGAATGAGTTTTCATAATCATCTGTGTATCTAGTAGGTTTGATGCATTTCTTGTAATTTCATAAACTTCCGAATAATTTTTTTTATTTTAAAGTTTTATTTTCTTGCTTATGTAATATCTTCATTTGCTCCTTTGTCTAACCAGGGTCTACATTTTGTTTTCTGTTTTTCATTTTATTTCATTTTTTTCATTTTTTCATCTCTTTGTTTTTCATTGCATAATTGTTAAACCCTGATGTGTCCTTCGCTAGTTCACAATTTTCAAAGTTATCTCTCGAACAGTCAACAAATTCAAATAACAATTTATAAAGTAAAACTATACTTCAAAGATTAATACCGACACTTTTTAGTTTTTTATAAATTACTCTTTTTATCCCAAACAATTGCCGTTACGGTCAATTCCGGGTTTTTCAAGTGGTTTTTCTTGTGAATAATTTTTGATCGTTCAAAAGTTATTGAGTCAAATTTTAAAAGAGTAATTCACTCCGATTGCATCTTTCAAAGGTTATAAACTACATTTCAAAATTTCCCTTTTTCAAAGCAAAGGCGCCATTTTGACTTGTCGCTAGAATAATTATACTACTATGACTATACTATGATTTTAAAAATTTTTTGGCTTCGTTCTTCCTCCAGATAATCTTTTATACCATGTAGGAACAAAACATCAAAATCTTTTTATTAGAAAACCGCCTTGTTTTACATATCTTATAACAAATATCAACTTATCAATGTGATATAAATCATATGTAGAGTCTACTCTGATTGAAAAATACTTAGCTGGTTGAATCTCAGTCTTGATGTTGCTGATAATTTTTTATTTCATAAAATTAATTAACTTTTCGTATGTTGTAGATGAAAAAACTATTTCATTCCCAGAATGAAATCATGAGCGATATGCTGCGATAAGAATAGATCAAGTTTCCGTTAATTGCTCTATAGCCATCAAAACGTTGCCGTTATGCAATGATCAGATATTCTTTTATTTACCTCAAAGAAGCAGAACTCGTATTACTAAAAATTTCACAACTATCCGTTTCAGAACTTTACGCCAATATTTAGTTTCTTTGTCCAATTGCGTCTGGAGCTAACCGATTGTCCTAATACTTAAGCTATCATAGATGTAATACTTGTTTTATGATCAAATTAATTTTTGTATTCGCGCAATCTATATGAATTTTTCCAGTCATTAAATTCTTCTATTGAAAATGCTGTTTTTGCCTCGACTAAACAATCCACATAAAAAGTAAAAAACTGAATCCATACTTTACTAAATAGTTCAACCAAGATCTATACTTTGTTTCACCATTCTTAAGTGTTTCCTCAAACAATGATTTTGAACATTAAAGAGCTCGATTAATGATTATTAGCGATTTATGAAAGATGTCATTAATATTTTGATTAAATCTCCGTATGGAAACGCATTAGCGTGTGTCATTGTCAATTTTCCATTTTTCTGGGTCAGTTTAAGGCCATTCTCCGTAACTTTGGGGTTTCTATGTTTTATGTCCTTTTTTTATCGTTCATATTTCACGGAAGAGTTTCAAAACGCTGATTTAAAACATAACAATTACATTTTTATTTGCAAAACTCAACAAAAAAGTTTTCTGTAGTTCCATGAATTCATAAAATTATGAACATTATGACCAAACTTAGGAGAATTTACGATATATGAATTTGTATACTTTTTCAATTTTTAATCAATTTATAATTATAATTTAAAGGTGTAATTATAAAATTGATTTTTTTAATTATATTTTATTGCTTAAAAAAAAAAAAAAAAAAAAGTAGTTATCTGTAAAATTTAAAGTTTGTAAATATTACAACCTTTTTAGCAGTGTAAAGTAAAAAAAAAACTTTAACGATTACATATACACCCTAACTTACCCCCTTTAGCGTTCGCACGTTAAATTCGGCTTAGGTAGTATTAAATTTATTTAACTTCAAAACTCTGAGCTTTGGTCAGAAAAGCATTTTAGATTTGGTCGAGTTGATTGGAAACGTCTATAATTGTATTTAATTCTTTAAAACAACTCTTAGTTGCCATTTCGAATAGTTTGACCCGTTTTTTGTTTTTTTCTTTTTAAATAACAGGTTAGTTTGCTTCAATTAAACGGTTCATTGCACATTGAAACTTTCCACAAAAAAAAAGAGTTGCGAATGAACGAAAGTAAACTTTGCGTTGTTGCATATTTTAATTTAAAAATAAATATATCTTTAACAAGTCAAAGTATTTAGTAAATTGATGATAATATGGTGAACTATGGTTCTGTATTTTAAGTTTGTTGCATTGTGGGTTATAATTGTTGGTACTCATGGTAAAATAAAGCCAGGTATATTGTCTTAACTTTCTTTAACTTTATATCTCATCGTAAAGTATTTACTGCTACTTTGATTAATAATATGTAACTAAATATATTAATATAAGTTCTATTAATAAGTACCAGGCTGTTGATTTGAGAAGGTGGTGAATTCAGGGCCGCACACAGGATTTTTTGATGTTTTTGATATGACACTTTCACATATTGTGCTAACTCCAAACTTAAGTATTTTCATACCTATGCCAAATAAGAAGACTTTGCAAAAAATCGCGATGATGGAGGCCTGGGAACAAAAATACCATACGCCCCCCCCCCCCCCCGCCTTGACTTAAGGTAGTAATGTAATAAGATTTTCAACTTTACTTTTCAATACTAAATTTAAATTCATCTACAGGTTTTAAATTTCATTCAAAAAAATTGTCAATTACAAAAGTTACTACCGTGCAAACTTATCACCCTCCCCCCCCCCCAAAAAAAAAAAGAAAAAAAAGAAAAAAAAAAGAAGGGGGTTGTAAATTTTGCATGGCAATTAATTTTGTAATTTACAGTATTTTTTAATGAACTTTAAAACTTGTCGATGATCTTAAATTTAGTATAAAATAGTAAAGTTGAAAATTTTACTACATAATTGCCCTTACCTTTGGGCTAGGGGGGCTAAATTTTTAGGGTATTTTCGTTCCCAGGCCTTCATCATTGCGATTTTTGCAAAGCCTTTTCGTTTGGGATAAGCATGAACATACTTAAGTTTTTATGTTAGCACAATACGTGAAAGAGTCATACCTGAAACATATAAAAATTCTGTGGCGGGCCTGGGTGAATTAGCGCATGCATCCTACGACAAAGTAATTAGAAACTGTATAAAGAATTTTAAGTTTACTTTATTAAATATCACTAGGTATCTGATAGTGTCTCTTTGAAAATTAGCTTTTATTTGATTAATGCGGTTTTTATTGCTTCCTCAAGGTTTTTAAGAGTTTTTTTTTACAATATAAACAAACTTCTCTACCCATCTTTTACGGATTTAACACTAGTGCATCACCACCATTAATTTGACAAGACTTTAACAAATATTTCTAGGTTTCTTAATAATCTACGTCATGATCAGCTGTGTTACAAGTAAAAACTTCGCATGAAGGCAATAACAACAATAAAGCCGAATATTTGTACAGTGCGTAAACTTAGTTTTATTTTAATGTGACTTGCTTTAAAGGACTTATTTAATAAAATACAAACAAAAAAATAAAAAAGCGCTCTAAAAAAAGAAAAGAAAAGCAAACATTTAGGCAGGGTTGTTAGCGTGATTATAAAATTAAACACGTTACGTTAATTAACGCGTTACATAAAAGTTCAGTTACTTAAGCAATCACGTTAACAAGTTACGTTATCACGTTATTACGTTAACACGGTAAATCATGTTAATCATCGCGTTAAATGAAAATTAAATTAAACTTCATTTTTTCTTAATTTTGAATTATTTTTATGTTATTCGCTTATTTTATTATATGATAATATAAAAATCAGCACATTTCAACTTCAAAAGTAGTCGGAGTTGCTAAACAAAATCGCGACTCCGACTTGAATAGTAAAATCTCTCGGTATTGTACGTGCATCTACAAAATAATTAAGCTTCAAAGAATTTTTTTTTTATGAAAATTTTTTTTTTTTTTTTTTGGAGTCGCAGTTTGAGTTGGAGTAGGAGTCGTACTCTAAAAGTTTCAACAATTGGAGTCGGAGTTGGTATTTTTTTACGACTCCACACCCCTGAATAAGACAATAAATGATTAACAACAAATCGTCTACCGAGAACCGAGAGGCCAAGAGTATGTCCATTTTTCAAAAAATCAAGTTTTAAAATTTAGTTTGTCAAGGCTTTCTTCCACTATGTCCGAATAATTTTTCAAATATTTTTAAAAGTTGAATTATTCTTGAAGCTAGATTTATTGTATACATTCTCCATTGATTGTTAAATATTTATTGATAATAAACAGAAAAAATACAAAACGTGGACCTCTTGGTTCTCGGCTGACGAAATAATAAATAAAACTATAAGCACTGTATATACTAAAAAACTAAAGAAAAGATAAAATCATCAGATAACAACATAACTAAATAAAACTAACATATAATAAATCATAATATGAAATGAATAACTAACAAAATATGAGCAAGAAGAACAATGCAAAATCGTGGTATGCCGTTTTCCCAAAGTATAGAAAGTTTTTCATTCATTTTTAAACTTTTTTTTGTTTACTTTTATTTTCGTTACTTTTTTATTTTATTTTATATTCTTTTAAATATTTCGTTTTTTTTTCTTCTTTTTAGATATTTCATTTTTTCTTCTTTATCATCGATTTTACTCAAAAGAAATTACCCCCCCCCCCTCCTATTATATTGAATTTTAACGTAATTATTAACGTAACTAACATGCAGAAGTCAGTTTTTAATCTCGTTAACGTTACGTTAATAAACGTGTTTATAGCCAAAAAAAAAGTCACATTAACACGTGAAAACGTTACTACGTTACGTTACATTAACAGCCCTGTATTTAGGTACTGCCCATGATTAATATGGGTATTTCTCTAAAGTACCATAAATTTGGAGTGTCAGGTTATTTCGAGTGTTGTTTTTTTAAATGTATTGTATCATATGAATTCTATTTTGTGTAAAGCAAAAAAGTTATATTTCATTGCTGTTTTTTTTAATTAACAAAAATTTGATAAATTATATCTCACAATTTGACAACAGGAAAAAAACCAGTAAATGAAAACAATCAAAAGAAAAGTTTGAGTCAGCATTCTTATCGACAGCCCTTTAGCGATATTAAAGGGTTCGTTAAAGACACGACAAGACGAATTCACAACAAAAGTAACGAAGATGTAGAAGCACATAAAAAATTATCAGGAACCAATGGGCTGCAGTCCAAAAAATCAGACATTGAAGCTGCAACTAAATCCATAGTGCACGAAACAAATGAGCGGAAGGACAAAAGAGGTTCGTTTTATAAAAGTAATTAAAAAAAAACATTTAGAGTGAAAAATTTCTAAAAAAATTATCTTTTCACTTTTAATGATTAGTTATTGTTAATGTAATTATTTATAAATAAATTAAACTTTTGCACGCGTTGTTTACATAAATCATTTGCATCAGTGTAACTGCAAGTCGTTCGACCCCTACCATAAAATCTTTCGAAACAAAATTCTTTATTCCTAAAAAGATCAAAACTTTGCTGAAGGCCTTCTTATTTACATCAGAGTATAATTTTAGCTGCTTCTTCATTTGACCCCTAACCGAGCCACATTCTTCCAAAATTAATACACTTTTTCATTTGACCCCTAATCCAGCCACTTTCTTCCAAAATTAATACACTTTGTACTTCTGTGAAACTAAATTTTTCATTTTAAAAGGTTCTTTTTTTATAAATTCTTACTTAAATTTAGGTTTCTTAGCGACACTTGCAAACTTATTAAATGATGCTGAAGCATTGACCAACCATAGAAATCAATTTGAAGGTGGCTTAAGTTCAGTAACTCATGTTCCTATTTCTTCAAGTAATAAACATTCGTTGGTTGGTGGCATCAAAATAGTTGAACCAATAAAAACTGACAAAAATGATGTTAAGCTTTCAATTACAGAAGAGAATAAAGAAGATAACAAAGTTGAGAAACGAGAGGATCTAATCACCAAAGCAATTAGTGATATTTTAGAAGCAAAAACAATACAAAAAGATGCGCCTGACTTAGTAAAAAACAAAGTCTCAATAAAAAATACGGTGGAGAATAAAGATAAAATAGAAAATGTTATAAACACCATAGAAAACAAAGAAAAAACAGATCAAGTTATCAAATTTGAAGAAAAATCAAAAAAAAGGGCTGACTTTCCGAGCCCTGAAGATGCACAGAAAGATAAAAATGATTCAGGAATTGAGTATGCTCCAATTTTCGCAATGTATCACGGCAAAATTGTCCCTCTAGGAAAATTACCTGACACTTCTTTTAAAAAGTCTCATACAGAAGAAATAAAAACTGTTAATAGTCTTACAGTTTCTGAAGACGATATGCCAAAAGATAAACAACTTACAGTTTCTGAAGATGATTCACCAAAAGATAAACAATTTATAAGTTCTCCAAATCAAATTCAAGTAACCGCTGAACGCCGGTCTTTTTCATTACCTGAAAATACTCATATTAATTCCGAAGAAGAATTTGAAAATAAATTTGGAAAGAAAGATAGACCTTCGAAGCTATACAGACTTCAACAATACTTAAAAAACCTTGATGGTCACATTCCTTCGGCAAACGAAGTAAAGGAACAGGTTGCAAAAGACGAGGTTATTTTTCCAGAAGAAAAAACCGAAACAACAAAAAGTGATATTTTAAGTCATATTAAAGGTCTTGTCCTTGATGATGGAAAAATAGTAACAGTAAAAGGCAACCGCATTGAACCGATGGAAAATACAAAAGAAGAACCGTCTACATCCCTAGATTCCCAAAAGTTTTTTGTTTCAGATGATGGGAAATTAAATCTAGTTAAATCTAGTAGTAAAACTAGCGATGTTCAGAGTGCTGACTCAAAAACATTACACGAAAAAACAACAGAACCAAAAACGGTTGCTTTGAGTTTGGAAGTATTAAAAGATTTACTTAAAAAAAGCGATAAGGTATCGTTAGCTACTTTATTAAACAAAGCGCAAGAGCCCAAAACTGATGAAGACGATGATCCAGGTAATCATTACTTATAATATAATGTATCAAAGGCAGGATTTTTACGAAACCAAGCCCAAATATAATTAGGGCGCCAGTTTAATGTAGTTAAAACAATAAACAGAGATTATTTTTTTTTAAAAAAAACCTTTGCAAAGACGGATACTTATTAAATAAGAGAGTATCATAATTTTGTCTACCTTCCAAAAGTCCGGCCCTAGCTTCCTTTAAGTCCGGCCCTGTATGTATTAAAACAATGTATTTAAAATATTTTCTGTTCTTTTTTATTATTAGGAACAATCGAAGATTTTGCAGCAGGTGGTTTAAAGTCGCACAACTTATATCGCTCTAAACACCATTCTGATCCATTGATATGGTCTGACGAATTAGCGGCTAAAGCACAAAAGCTTGCGGAATCACTTGCCGATAAAAAAGCATTAGAAATTGCAACTGATCTTGAAAAAGAAGGTTACGGTGAAAATGTTGCAAAAGTCTGGGCTACGTTTAAAGATGCTGGAGAAGCAGCAACCAAAATGTGGTACACTCAAAGCAATAACTACAGATTTGATGATCCCCATTTAGATGAAAACACTGGACAGTTTGCTCAAGTGGTATGGAAATCAACTAAAGAATTAGGTATGGGAGTTGCAAAAAGCATTGACGATGTAAATAACAAGTATGTTTATGTCACAGCATTATATAGGCCTCCAGGAAACATTGAACCAACTTTAAGAGACAATGTTCTTCCGACAGGTAACAACACCGTAGATGTTTACACTACATTTTTTAAAAGGATGGGCGTCATTGATGCTCGCGAAGTATCTCAAAATAAAACAGCTGCAGTTTATTCCACATTTTTTAAAAAAAGCAAGTTGAATAATAATGATGAAAACTTTAAGCGTTCAAAGTTACAAAAAGATCCTATTGTTGTTAAGGACAATTTAAACGAAAGAGGACATTTGATAAAAGAAAATGAAACCTAAGTAATAAAAAAAAAAAGAATACTGAGCAACTTCAACCAATTTAAAAATACTCAAGATCAAGAAATCTAGCAAAACTAATAAAAAATTACTAATAATACTACTATTATTATAGGTTGAAATTCAGTAATAAAAAAATATACTAATAACAAAAGGATGAAAGTCAATAAAAATTGAAGAATCATACTGCAAGGTAAAAATAAACGGTAACTAAATCTCCAATGATCAAATTGAAAAATTACTACATAAAAAAGTTGAAAATAGTTGAAATTTATGCTCAAAGCGCTATAATGAATTGACTAAGTTTATTTACAGAGAAAATTAATTAATTACAGAAAAAATTAAAATAAAATAAAATTTGACTTTTTATAGACTACTTTGTAAATTTATTTTCATTTCATTCTTTTTTGTATATTATATTTTAACGTTTAAAGTATATGAATAAGATTCGAAATTAACGGGTTTTCCAATAATATTTTTCTCTCAAGTACTTTTTCAAATTTTGAGATTAAAAAAAAGTTTTTTAGTTACACAGTATCATAAATCTATTACTCAACACAAAAAAACTTGATGAATATTTTGATTGTTTTTGCAAATTATTTAATTATGAACGATCAAAATAAGTGAAATTTATTATTCATATAAAATGCATTTATTTTAGATTTTTCTAAATACGCTATAAATAGGTTTTAAAAAGTTGCAAAAAAATCAAATTCATTAAGTAAAGTGTAAAAAAAAAAAGTACCATATTCACGGTCAAGACTGTTAAAACGACGCCGGTAACTGTTACGATTGACGGTAATTGATACTGAAGACAAATTTGGTTATAACACGAGATTAAAGCACAATTTACAATTTAAGCTCATTTTAGTACAGTGAAAATCTTGAAAACTTAACGATAAAATATGATAGCTTCTGATTATGTTAAACACTGATTAGTGATGGTGAACATTTATTTTTATATAGCATTATTTATAAGTTTATAGACTGTATTACAATAATTATATAGCATCATTTACATTTTAATTATTTTTACTATACATGTATTTTTACTAAAAACTTGAAAGAACTAAATGAATTGAAATGCTTTGTGTATGATTTTTTAGCGGAATGAAGCTAATGTAGTCAACATATATGTAAAAAACAACATATTGGTATACCGTTCCATTTCAGACAAAATGAAATTAAACTTAATTTTGTCGTCTTTTTTAAACTTGGGCTTGCGTGATAAAACTTTTCTCTAAATGAAGTCAATTTTCTGTGATTTCTGTCAAAATGGCAAAATAAGTTTCCATTAAAATGAGTTACATATTGCGTGAGTTGCGTGAGTTTTTCTTTCAAATTCTTTTTTTAAAGAGAGTTTGTATCATTTTATAAGAAACAAAAAAAGTTAGCTGCCCAAAATTGCCCCATTTTGAAAAAATGTGTTTTTAAAAAGCTCATTTTATGAAAAAAATTAGCGACGTAAAAGCTAATACGATGTAATTTAACTTCAATTTTTATGGTTTTGAGAGCTTTTCCTGACATTTCTGAGCAAAACTTTCAATGTGAATATATATATATATATATATATATATATATATATATATATATATATATATATATATATATATATATATATATATATATATATATATATGTATATATATATATATATATATATATATATATATATATATATATATATATATATATATATATATATATATATATATATATTCACATTGAAAGTTTTGCTCAGAAATGTCAGGAAAAGCTCTCAAAACCATAAAAATTGAAGTTAAATTACATCGTATTAGCTTTTACGTCGCTAATTTTTTTCATAAAATGAGCTTTTTAAAAAAATTTTTATATATATATATATATATATATATACATATATATATATATATATATATATATATATATATATATATATATATATATATATATATATATATAAAATTTTTTTATATATATATATATATATATATACATATATATATATATATATATATATATATATATATATATATATATATATATATATATATATATATATATATATATATATATGTATATATATATATATATATATATATATATATATGTATATATATGATATATATATATATATATATATATATATATATATATATATATATATATATATATATATGTATATATATATATATATATATATATATATATATATATATATATATATATATATATATATATATATATATGCATGTTTGTATGTTAATGTTATTTTTCACTTTTGTTTAAAATAAATATAAAGTTTACTAAACATCAATTTTATTTAGTTATTGAAAATAGAACTTTGATTGATAGAAGTGAGTTACTTCAAAATTTACTTTTTAAAAATTACATTTTTTGTTCAAAAAAAATTGTTCCTTTCCACCTGACCATGTTTGAACCTATTTTAAAGATTTTTAGTCTTCTCTCTTTGTCAATCTTTTTTACATCATAGAGCAAATTTTCAACAAATTTTTAATAAATAATTTCAAAAAAAATAATTTTGGCTTAATTTTAAGTTTCTCCTGATCACTGTGAATTGGGAAGAACGGAGCTGGTAAAATGTTACATAATTTGAATCTAGATTTATAGAAAATATTATTTCTACCTGATACTCCTTGTAAACGTATGTTAAAGGTTATGAGAACTTTTAGCGTAAACGTAACGTACAAAATTAAGAAATAAAAAAAAATATATGTAAACGATTCATGAAATTTAAAAAGTAATTAAAATTGTCACTTCTATTGGAATTTTCGCATATTGCGAAACTGTTACCAATTAGAGATTATTCAGTCTGAAGCATTACGCAAACTAGCTTGTTAATTAATTATTGCTGTATTAAACTTTGATTTTGATAAACCTTTTACATTGTGCTTGATAGAATGTGTTTGATAAACCTTTTAAATTAAAGAGAAAAATAGAAATTGTTTAAAAAATTTAAATTGATATCAGCTTTAACATTCAAAAAATTCATGTTAAAATCCCCAACGATGTATAATGTTAAAGTCCCAAAACTTGTTTGCTTTTAACTTTACAAAACTTTACGTTACAAAAATACAAACCTGCAGTAAACATATTACCGGCTTGTATAATAATTTTCGAACAAGAATGTCAAACTTGTATAGTCCACGTTTATTATCTCCACAACAACAGTATCTGATGATTAAATTTCAGGAAAATCATATTATTCTGGGAAATATTACTCTCTTCTTTTGGCATTAAATTTAATCATAAGTATATATATTTATAATCATAAGTATATAAACATTATGTTATTATTTTTAAAAAGAATATATGAAATATAAAATAATTTGTACTCGTTTTAATGACAAACAAAATTGCATCTTCTCAATTCCTGACATAATCATTTAGTAATTTTTCCCCGGTCTTATTTTTCTTCACTTTTTTCTCTTTATTTGTTTGATTTTTTTTTGTTTTACTGTAATAATTTCATGATTCAAAACTTTAGTGTATTACGTAAACATATTTTATAAGTGTTAAAATATATATATTTTTTAAAAATCTTATTATATCAAAAAAACAACAGGTGTAATACTAAATGTAATTTTTAAAAAAAGGTTGTCGAAGGGACTCTATAAAAATGTTGAGGTAATAGTTTTATCATCCATGCCTTTTTTGAGTCCCTTTCTGTTAATATTGTATATTATTTAAAACGAGAAGCTAAGGCTTTTATTTTTTTTAATATTATTGTATAAAGCTCTTTGTTAAAATTTGTTATATTATATAATCAGAAAAAAAAGTGAGCCAATCTTTGTTAAAATCAACTACATTCGAATAACTCTAACAGCATGTTTTCCTTACTTTTGAAAACAGAAGAAATAAAGGAACAAAATGTTTTAAGAATTGTGGAAAACATAAGTACTGGAAGCTTTTAAGAGTATCATACAAAAAGGTCCATTTACAATTTACAATTAACTCATTAAAAGTAATGTGTTTGGTCCGGTAAAAGCGGAAAAAATGATAGAAGCAGTATAGGCAATATTATTCTACTACAAGAAACTGTTACGTTAAAGTCCGTTGCAGGATTTAAGGAAGATAAAAAAAAAGCTTTGTCACAAAAATGTCACAGAAGAGTCTCCGCGTATAACCCAATATTTATATCAAAAGTATTCCAAAGAACTTTTCGAATTACTAAGCATCACACGAAAACGCTACACAGAGAAGTAAAAAGAACTGCCTACTTAAAAATTTGCCATGATCATTTCAGCGGATTTTGAAGAAGTTTGTTGTAAGTAAAAGACCACCTCAATTGATGATCTGCTATAAATAAAATAAAGGCATATTTGGCAACAGAGAAGTGGTTACTTCGGCTTGAGGAGGACGGAAACCTTGCTAACAATCTTGCTACACATGCCAAAAAATGGACGTTTAACCTATTAAGAATGCCTTGGTAAGAAAATTTATTTAAAAAAATTAATCAGAATAATGAAGAAAAACTTAGCAAAAACAATTGATTAAGACTCTCAAAGTTTCTATGAATTTGAGTAAGTATTTTTGGATGCAGTGTTTCTATGAACAATAGACTACTCTATCACCAAGGTGACTACTCTAATAATTAGGCATTGACACCAAACGTAATATTTAGTGGAAAACCTGCAGTCTTAAAAGACTTTTTCATTAAGTATACTTAGTGAAGATATCGATTTATAACGAAAAAGCAAATTGTACAATACGGAGAGTAAAGTTTGAACGATAACCTGAGAAACACATGTGAGAGAATGACAATAAGTAAAGAAAAAGGAAAACAGCGTGTAACTGTCAGGTGTCTAAAGCATGGTGCTTATTAAAGATGATGTGAAAGACAAAGTACTTATCCATATGTATTGAATTAAAAGCTAAATTAAGGAAAAGGACATAGTTATACGTGATTTAAAATCTGACAAATTATGCAATTGAACGATTAATTCAACTTTAGTGTCACTTTAAAATTGATTGTTAAACAGAAGAGAAAATTTAATCGAATAAAAACGTTGGAACCTGAGCAAACATGGACACCATGAAAAGAGCAACGAGACGGGTCTAATTGGAGAAAAGACCAAATGCATCATGTAAGAAAAGATATTTGATTAAAGCCTGTCTAAGTTTTAACAGCGAGTATTTATGTTGAAACAATGACTTTATGTGTGCTGTGAATCACTTTTTCCAATCCATTAAACCTTAATCTCTCTCTCTTTATATATATATATATATATATATATATATATATATATATATATATATATATATATATATATATATATATATATATATATATATATATATATATATACATATATATATATATTGAAATAATGACTACAATGCAATTGTAAATTTTATATAAACAGATGATATTTGTAAATATTTCATTTATAGTCAGAAGGAAATACAATAATAACGAGTTTAGCAAAAGTAGCAATTTTATTAGTGTCTTAGTTAAACGTATAAGAATTCCCCGCACAAGTGGTTTTTCTGATTTTTGGGATTGTTATGTGTATAAACAACTGATCTGGAGCAATCTTCTGCCGCAAAGTAGTTCGCTACAAAAAATTTACCTTTGTTGAAGTTTTCATCATGAATCATTATGAATGTGTACAAACGTAATTTTAAGATTTTAATATTTTTTTACTTATTTGTCAAATAGATTGATTTCTCAGGTAATTAGGTTTCATCTTTGTGACAACTTTTATATAACATAAGTAAAAATTCGTAAACTTCCGATTCAGACTTTCATTTCAATTAAGAGATTCATAAATACGTAAAAATGTTATTTTTTAAGCTAAAAGACATAAGATAATAAAAATATATTTCTTACATCACAAAACTAAAAGTGATAGTGAAAATAGTGCTTCACTCTAAAGTTGTATTTATTTTAATAATAACTAAACCCTATACTTAAAAAGACATGCTAAACAAATTTGAAAAATTCACAACTTCATAGTATATAAAAATTTTCTTTAGACCTTTTAGTAAAGTACAAGTTCATTGATTAGTTTGTGGGTAAAACCTTCAAGTTTTTTATTACAAAATTTTTCTTTTTATTGCTTTTCTGTGTTTTGTTATGACTAATTATAGCAGCATCAGCTTTAGGGGGTTGATATTCAGGCGTTACTCCTCGTACTTCGTAAATCCATTGCATCAATTTTGACTTAAAAGATAAAAATCTATTACTTTATGTAAACTCAAAAAACTAATATTTTATTATTACATAGAAAAAGTTAAAATTGCAGAAAAGTTAAAATATATCCGCTTGAATTGTTCAAACCAGCTTTCCTGAATAGTTTAGCTTCAAATTAGCATAACATAAACGTCAACAGTTTACCATAAGCTTAACAATTTTAAAATGAACAACAGCTAAGCATAAACTCACCTGAACAGTAAGTTTTGTTTTGTGCTCCTTTCCATAGTAAAGTGGTTTGTAACTTAGAGTAAAGAGAACTCCTTCAGTGTTTATTGGCGCAAGAATTCCAGCCTGCGGAGTCACTTCAAACATTTTATCTGATCCAGTAGATATATGAGCAGTAAACTCGCTCTCAACTCTGCAACAAAACAAAAATATCAACAAAAAAACAAATAAAATGTGTGTTAAAAAAATTTATGTGTAATTCAATATAGAATTATGCTAAACAAAAACAAATATTTACTCTGCCTGGCTATTAAGCCTAAATGATACATGTGCAGTTTTGTTTAATCCAACAGCTCGAATCATAATAACATCATCAGGAACTGCTTCATTTGAAACAAATTTAAATGGGTATTTCCAAACACCACCTTTTGGTGAAGTGATAGCCAAGTGAACGAGATAGCTAAATTAAGCCAAGGGTAGCATACAATATTAAAAAACAATCAAAAAAATAAAAAACATTAAAGTAGATTACTTGTCAGTTCACATTAGTTTTAACGTATAGAAAATATAGACATACCAAAATGGTTTTGAAGGGAAAAATACAAGTTTAAACACAAGATTCGGCGCTGCATAATCACAATCGATATATTTTTTTTCTAAGGTAATTAAAACCGATCGTTGTACTTGGTCTTCAATTTCTTTGTTATCAAATTCAAGTTTGAAATCAAAATCTTCACATAATTGCGCTTCGTTGTTAAAAGAGTCAATATGATCTCCTAAATTAAATGATGAAAAAAAATCTATGAAAAATTTAAAGGACTCAAGTAGTTTTAAGGCATACATTTGCAAAATATTTATATAAATATTAGTCTCTCTCTAAAACAAAGTTTTGAGCAGTATGCTTTTGTGAAACTCTAATTATAGTTAATAAATCATAGAGATTCTTTTAAAAATATTTCAACATTTTTATTTTTATGCTGAACCAATTCATTTATATAGGGGATAATAAAAGACAATAGTAAAAAATAGTATATTATAACCGACATATCAGCCATGAAAAAAAAGTATATTATTGTTGATATATTAAAAGTAAAAAAAAAACGTAGTATATTTAATATATTAGAAGTGAAAACAAGCTTTTAAATCTCTGCATAAAAAATATCCAACATATAAAATGATTCTATAATCAAAACCCAAATAAAAATTGTATGCAAAAAACAAAAAATTGAAACTTTTACCAAATATACGAACAGGAAAAACAGAATGTTGACAAGTTTTATCTCTTGAACTGATAAAGCTTTCTTTTATAAGCAAAATAAATATCTTTTTTTCTAACTTTTCTCTTGCACGACAAGTGAGTGCTGGAGCTAAAGAATCCTTAATTGGTTCAATAATCGGAATGCCTTGAACAACATAGCTCCATTTAAATTTCATTTTATCATGAAACTGTTCTCCTTCAGTTTCTTCATAAATTAGTTCTGGAATTATGTAGCAGGTGCATTGAGATGATTCCATTGATTGTGCACTGTAAGATATTGGTATGTAGACATCAGATTTTGAAGAACATAAGATACCCGTATAAGGTTTTGAAAGCATACTAAAGTCAGAATCTGAAAATAATTTAAAATATTTTACAAAACCCATTTCCACGCAATTTTTAATTTGTGCTACATTTTTATAAACCTTTAATTTATAATTATTTAAAAGAAAAATTACTTTCAGATTGTAATTGTACTTCCAAAGAAACACTGCATTCAAATGAATTATGAAACTGAATAATTGTTGATGCACTCTCACCAAAACGTGCATGAATAAACTGATATTTGAGTTCAGGAGCTTCGCCCAAACCAGACAAAATAAATGTTTGATTACCTATCTAATGTATAAAAATATCTATAAATAACACATGTTATGAACAGTATATATAAGTAATAAAAATTCGTATTAATTAAAAATCAAACAGTATTTTTACTTTTTGTCTTACAAACAATAAATTAAAAGGGAAAAGTACGACAAAATAGAAGTGATGAATACCGCAAAATAAAAACGATAAATACTAAAAAACAAAAAATGATATGTTTTACAAAAAAAGTAAAAAAAAAAAAAGTGATAAGTGCCACATAAAAGTTAATATTGTCTTGTTTTGTTTAAATAAAAATATTACAGAACCAAAATATTTATACATTAAAACCCATTTGATTTGTTTCAAATAGTTTTAATATTATTGAACTATTTACTTTTTTCTATTTTTAAAAGTTTTTATAACCAATTACTATTTAGGCAATAATATGTTTAAATCTTATTGTGTAAAAAAACCCTAGCAAACGCCCTGAATATTTTGATTTAAAGAAGCCATTTTTTTTACTGTTGATTTTTTTTTGTTAAGTTACAAAAAAATAAAATGTGTTGTTGGTCAAATCAATTTATAATTTGTCATAATATTCTGAGGTCAACTTAATGAAATGCAATGTGTCAAAAATATAATCAGCTCTTATGAATGACTAAACCAGTCTTTGATTAACAATCAATACTGATTAATGTTCAGTCATTAATAATCAATACTGATTAATAATCAACACTGATTAATGTTCAGTCATTGATTAATAATTAAAACTAATTAATACTCAATCACTAATCAATAATTAATAACTGGACATAAAGAAAATAAAACAATTAATTGTGCATAAAGATAATCAATCAGTATACTCTGAAAAAAAATCTTACAGTCAAGATCATTTAAAACT